GGGGGGGGGGGGGGGGGAAGGAAGGAAGGAAGGAAGGAAGGAAGGAAGGAAGGAAGGAAGGAAGGAAGGAAGGAAGGAAGGAAGGCAGGCTGGCTTTGCAGTCTGCAGTTTTCTGCTGAGGACTTCAGGGACAAGACAGAGATAGGACTTCAAGGATAGGACTTCTCTTCCTTCCTTTTCCAAATTCAGGATTCTCCTCTTTGACTGCTCTTATGCAAGTCAAAGAGCTTCTAGTTTGAATTATTCAGATGAGCAAAGCCCTGAGGGTATTTCTAGTGACTGCCTATGGAGTGTTTTACAAGACTTGGTTTTGTGTGTTTGTGTGTATAAAAAGACTTGTAATCTAAGTTTTAAGAACATGCTGTAAGACTCAGGATGAAGCTCACAGGGAGACAATTTGTCCAGCATTCATAGGCCTTTAGTGCATTTCCAAACACCACAAATGTACTTATGCAATCTACTTACCTATTGCGAGTAATTAGCATATGCTGGAGTTACTGCCCAGATCTCTATTTATTCCCATCAGTTATTTAATAGCATATTAGGCATTGTTTAGACTTTTCCACTCTGCCTAATAAATATATTCCTTAGTGTCTGTCTTAACCGTGCCTGGTTCTCATGTGTGCATTCTTTGCAGAAACAAAGATGGAAGACTTTACCCAAACAACCTTCTGAGGAAGATGGCCTCCAACACGGTTCCAAACAAGTAATGGTGTTAAAAGCAACAGAACCATTTACGTATGACATGAGAGAAGACAAAAGGATGTTCCATGCCACAGTGGCTACTGAGACTGAATTCTTTAGAGTGAAGGTGTTTGACATAGCTCTAAAGGAAATGTTCATCCCCAGGAAAGTCATTGTCATCTCAGATTATATTGGCTACAATGGGTTTCTAGAGATATACGGAGCCTCCTGCGTATCTGAGGTGAATGGGATAATGAATATCCCACTTTCACTGAGACAAAGAGCCACGGCAACACCTAAAATTAATACTATCTGTACACAAAGAGTAGGAACATTTGTGAATGGAGTCTTTGCAGTATATAGTGTAAGTTGTTGCGTCATTTTGTAAAATATCATTTGCAACCTCAGATTTCAAGCCGTAACTTGGCAGCTGGAATATGGTCAATTTTCTGCACACAGGAAAACAAGGCCTCCTTTATCAGGGAGCAGAAAGTGGAGTTTCCCATTGTAAAGTGTGGGATAGCCTCTCCACATTCTTTTCAAGGTATCACTGTAAAAATGTTCCAGAAGGAGACTCCACACAAAACTGGGCATTTTACTATGTTTTTACTCTGGTGATCCATTTACAGTATTTTGTATCAATACACAATGCAAATGTTTGTTTGCATTCTTCTTTACCTTTATCAGTAGCAACTTAATTACCAATTATGGTTGATATTCTTGCCTGGATAATTGTTGTGACAAATAGCATCAGGAAGCAAGTTGCTAAAGTTACTGATGACCTCATCTTTAACATGTTGTAACTTCCATTCAATTTTCTCATAATATCTTTATTGTTTCTTAGATAATATTACATACAAAGCATCTTGATTATATTCACCCTTCACTATTTCCCCGACTCCTTCCAGAACCATTTGACCCCACCATTCACATCCTCTTTTTATTTTGTTTCATTTTTTATTTTTAGAAGAGACTATCCTGAATTAAGTAGCCTGGATCTCAGCTTTTTACAGTATTCTTTCCCGCTCTTCTGTGACATTTCCTGAACCTGAAACCTGGAGGTTGTATTATGAATGTATTACTTGCAGGAGGGCTCTCCCTGGTCAGTGGATCTCTGCATTTTGATCCATGTGGCTTTCTGTAATGGTCTTCATCTGATGCAAAAAATAAGCATCTTTGTGAGGTGTGGGAGCTTCACTCTTTTGTGGCTATAAGGATAAGAATTTAGAATGCAGTTAGAAATTATACAGGCTTAGGCAACTGACAGTAAGTTTCCCTCTAGGCTCAATGTTCCAATAATTTATTGTGCCAAGCATGGATAACTTCCTACCGAGTGGACCTTATATTCAATCAAGTAACTGTTGGTTACTTCCAGGGTACAAATGCCACTATTTCACCTTGCAGAATATCTTCCCATGCTGTTCATCATCATGGTTCATCGTCAGTGTGCCTGGGATAGAAATATTGATTGCTATTCTCTTTGGCAGTTTGCATGGCTTCTTCTGAAACTCTAAGAACTAGTTATCAGTAAGGTGGCTTCTGGGTCAAACCCAGATCAGTCCCTCCAAATTCTGTTCCTGAACTATGTGGTGCCTTCAGCAAGAGGGTCTTACGTTATTTGCCTGGAAGGCAACTAGGGCAATAGCAGTAGCCTATATTATTATTGGGGTCTGTTGGACTCCCCTGATTAACAATTTAAAAGAAAAAATTTCAATGCCTGGCACTAGAGTTTTTGTTAGATAGTCTAGGAGGGATTTTTTTTTGGGGGGGGGGGGCTAGGGAGGCCATTGTCATATCAATTTCCATAACTTCAATCAAGCTACATATAGGTGTGTGAGAGAGATATTATATATATAATTTAAGTTAAAACAAAATCATAAATTCCCCTATGGCTTTTCCATACATCTTTAATATTAATTATCTCTTCTTTCCCTCTCCCTCAGTATTGCCATCCTCTGACAACCTCTGCTGGTGTGTGTGTCTGACACTCATTTTTCTTTTCATAAAAATCATGTCCTACTCTTTTCATCCTTAATGTTTCTGTTATGGTCCGTTTTTACTTTTCTGCTGTTTGCAATTACTCTAGGTTATATACTTGTATCTAAAGATTTGGGGCTAGCATCCACAAATAATAGAAAACATATATGTATGTATGTATGTATGTATGTATGTATGTATGTATGTATGTATGTATTTATATATATATAATATATACATATGTAAATATGTATATATTTGTGCAGAGGGCACAAGGGCTTGTGTTCACATACAGACAGTAAGAAAACCAGGAACATTAAATATGCAGGGTCGTCTCTTCAATGGAAAAGATGTTTAATTTGTTTTCTACACAGAAGGCTGGGAATGGATGTGGTGAATAGCCTGGTGGCCTCTGTGCTATCTGTAGGGCAAGGCCGAATCTGACTCATCCAGAATGTTGCTTATCCAGGATTCTTCTTTATCTTGATCAATGTTTCTCATCAATAAAAACCATCCTTATGTCACATGAACTTTACAAATGGAGCATAGGTGGTTAATAGCTCGGGGGCCTCTTGGCTATCTGTGGGGCTAGGCCACACCTGACTCTCCCAGACTTTTATGTATATGTCAATCAAGTCTCCCTAAATCCTTGTCTTCGCATTGTTCCTCAGTCAATAGAACTCATCTTATGAAGAGGTTATATATACTTTGTAGAGTATCAATGGAAACATGTGTTATGCTTTCTTTTACACCCAGGATGGAATTAATTATCATCAGAAAACTTTGTTCCAAATTTGTACTGTGATTGAAAAAGCCTAAAATAAACTGCCCAGTGTCAGACTCTAGAGGTCTGAAACAACACCAGCTACTGAGTAGGGCCGAACTAGATTTCCTTCTTGCCATACGTGGATTGACGCTCTGCAGGCCCTGATGTTTGTAGAGACTTTCTACATGACTTAGTATATTTTCTAGTTCCATGCATTTACTTGCAAATTTCCTTTTTCTCTACAGCTAAATAGTATTCCATTTTACAGATGCATCACATTTCCGTTATCCATTTATCAGCTGAAAGACATTTAGATTGTCATCACGTCCTAGCTATTGTAAATAAATCATGAAGGAACATAGCTGAACAGGTATTTATGGAGTAGGGTGTCAATTCTTTTGTTTATATGCCAAGCAGTGGTAGAGTTGACCATATGAAAGATACATTTTATCTTTTAGGGCATTCTCCACACTGATTTCCAGAGTGCCTGTACCAGTTTGCAATGTCACCAACAGTGAACTGGAGTTCCCCTTTGCCCACAATAACATTAGCATCTGCTGTCCAATGTTTTCTTGATCTTAGCCAGTCTGACTGGGTTTAGATTTATCAAGTGAGTGTCAAGCAAGTAACCTCTACCTTAAGTCTTAAGAGAAACAAACAGAATCAGATAGTGCAAATTTAATGTTTGAAATATTTGTAACAGAGTAAATACATTTGTGCATTGAGAAAACATCATCTATTTGATGGACACTTGGACTGGGAGTCTCAGACTTACAAAGAGCCACAACTCACTCTTCCTAATTCTTGTGGCATTACCTAAGACACCCTTAATGGCAATCAACTGATTTTTCCGTATTTGGGCTCCTTAACAACTCTCAACGTTTTCTAGAACAATCCATCAGACAAATATCTTAAATTAGAAAATCGTGAGAGGCATTTCCTAAGACAGGATTTGTGAACCAGAATGCCTCAAAGCTGTCTTGTACCCATAATTCTAAATTTAAGTCTATATTTGCCTTATCAGAGACAAGCTAACACTGTTTTGTCTCATAGATGCCACAACCCTTGACACATTTCTCAGAAGATGGGTGTTAATTTTTTTTTTTTTCCAGAGGACAGCAAGGAATGAATTCATTCACTACGGAATAGAAGACAGAACAGGGAAGATGGAAGTGGTGGTGTATGGACAATTTACCAGTATCTACTGTGAGCCAGGGGATAAACTCAGACTCTTCTGCTTTGAACTGAGCTCAAGTATGAACATGTGGCAGCTGAGATCTGTGAGGCACAGTTACATGCAGGTGGGTGTACTAAGGCATCATCGTACCTCCTGACAATCACTTTTAATTCTCTGGTAAGGCTTGACTGTGACAAAAAGGAAATTTAGTTTTGAACATTAATATATGTAAACATTTTATTATTATCATTTTTTAAAAAATAGGGTTATTTTGTTAGTTTTGTTTCCTTTTGCCTTTGTATTTTTGAAAATCATTTTTCATGGAATATGTTGTTATCACAGTTTCCCCTCTCTTATCTCCTCCCACCTCACCATCCATCCATCTCCACACCTCCTTTATCTCTCTATCTTTAGGAAACAAACAGGCAAAAAAAAAGAAAATAGCTGGAATAAAACAAAGAATTGCAAAAGCAGGAGAAATACATATGTGTGCGTGCACACACACACACACACACACACACACATAATAGAAACAAAAGCTCATAACTATAACACACAAGCAATAGACCAATAGGGTTAAAAAATAAAAAAAGAAAGTCCAAAGCATTATGTAATAATGACAGAAAAATAAAGTAAAATAAAAAGCCAAAACTACCCTTGAATTCATTTTGAGTTTACCATCTACTTTTAAAGGTGGTTTGTACACCCGGTGAGATACCATTAGAGAACGAAAACAATTTTTTTCTTTGAGAGCAGTTGTCTACTGGAAATAGCTTCTTGGTTAGGAACGAGAGCTTGTATCCACTTCCCCCCTCACAGTTTTCAGATCCTGTTTGGGTTGAACTTGTGCATGCCCTGTGCATTCTGCCGCAGTCTCTGAGAGTTTGTACGTGCATTGGTCCTGCTGCATTTAGATAGTTTTGTTTCCTTGGTGTTTTCCATACCTCTACTTTTACAGTTTTTTTTCTGCCTCCTCGTCCACATAGTTCCTTAAGCTCTGAGAGGAGAGATTTGATTAAGACATCCTATTTAAAACTGATGGTTCCAAATTCTCTCACAATCTGGATATTGTCTGGACTTGGGTCTCTGTGTTAGTTTCCACCTACCACAAGAGCAAGCTTCTCCGGTGATGGCTGAGTGAAGCAATGATCTATAGGTAGAGCAGAATGTCATTAGAGGTCATTTTGTTGCTACATGCATTTAGCAGAACAGTAGTACCTGGGTTTCCCCCAGGTTCCTGGTTTATCTAGTAAATGTAGTGAATCATAGTAAAAAAAAAAAAAAAAAAAGAATATTCAGAAAGAATCTCAATCTATTCTCCAAGTTAAATAATAAAATTGCTGTATTTATCAAAACAGAGACATTATTTGATAAGAATTTGTCCTGATGGGTTTTAAATTGATATTGTCAAATTGACTGAAGAGCCCAAAGCTCGGGGGCCTCACATTTAACATGAAAATGTTTATCACAGAGGATCATGAACATACCCCATGTATCAGAAGGATACCTTATGACATCAGAGCACAACGAACACAGAGCTCTTGTAACACAATGAGATTCATTATACACTACCAAATACAGCTAATGCACTCATGAAATCTCGGAACTGACCTATCCGTTCACATTGAAATGTGTCCAGATCCCCTTTATTCTCGGGACCAAAGTCAAACATTCCAACCCCCACCCAACCCCCAGAAGTTGCATTAGTCATGCCTTCTGTACTATCCTCTTAACCATCTGTGCAATAACATCTTCCACTCAATTGCTGGCTGCCTTTCGTACTGCTGTTTCTTTCTTCCTACTATTGCTCCAAGGCATGTCCTGCTCTTCTATCGGTGCTCGTGCCTAGTGGGTATGAATAACTCATTTTATGCTCTCAAGCAGTGGGAGCAAAGCTAATTCCAAGCACAGTCATTCGGTTAAGGAGTTAGGTAAAGAAAGAGGGGTGGCTCATAAAGACAGTATGGGTAGCAGAGACTATGGCAAACTGTTTCCCAACATACCTGACTTCTTCCTTTTCTTTTCCAAGGTCATCCAGTCTCGGAAGAGAGACACAGAACCACCCAATCCCGATTCAGTTATTGAAACAGCCCTACCCTCTTATTCATTGACACATGAACAACACTGGCAATGATGTTTATGGTGCTAAGATGCAAGTGCAGAAGAAAAATGTACATACGGCAAATGGTGAAATAAAATACATACAAAATCCAGCTCTAAGTTTTAGGAAATAGTGCTTTCTTTTCTTTGTTGTTTATACATTTTAGATTCTCTATATTCTACATTTTCCATTTGTATGTTTTGAAACTTGAAAAAAATAAATATTTTATGTAAAGTGGTGCTTCCCCAGGAGTCTCTTTCATCCATGTATAAGTCATTATTAATTAATTAATTTGTGACCTGAAGATCAGGGTGCAACACATAGTGTTCAAGAAACATACCAGAGTGTACTTTGGGTGTGACAGACAAGAACAGATCCTTTTCCTTGAAGGATCAGGTTGCATTCCACTCAGAGAAATCATGTTAAAAGGAAGGTAGAATCTGAATTGCAGTTATCGAGACCTATATTCCAAGGAGGGGTTTCACTGGCTGAGGAAAAAAAAAAAAAACATGGAGAAGGGAGGATGGATACCTTTTCAAAGTTCATCCCAGACAGGATATGAATGATTATTTTATTACATGAGAGGTCTCTGGTGGTTTCATGAAGGCACTAGTTATGCCAGAACTTTTGGCCCTGTGATGTGGACTACCTGAGTCCATTCATTTATTCGCATCTCAGGATTCCTCAATAGCTCTCCAATACTGCAATTCCTGGGTTTCACTGTTATGTGTGTAGAGCTACTGGAAGGTATTCCAGGCAGATATCAGGCAGATAGTGAAGGTAATTAACTTGGTTTTTAGTAGAAAGGCAGAGAACTGGGGTGGGTGTTTTAGGAATAGTAGGTTGGAGACCCTGAGGGAGGGGCAGAAGGAGGGGGTTTACTACTCTATATTCCAGGACTTTTTCTTTCTAACTGACATACGTATGGCAAAGAGGCATTAAAGTTCTGACATTACGTACTGTGTCTGGAGAGCCAAGACTCACAATGCATCGTTTCAATTTCTGCTCTCTGATTATGTGTCTTATTATAGTACATTTAGATGCCAGGTAGATATTATATATCCTTGTCTAATATTATGCTAATAGCATATGCATGCCTGTATACATTTATATTTATGCAGATGGACAGTTATTTACACATGTATATAAATGTAGTTCCATGATTGCCTAGGTATACGAATGTTCATATATCTGTCTACTCGTAAAAATTATTTTAGTCATCATATCCTTTTATCATGGAATCAGAGAGCTAGCAAAGTGGACAAAATTATAACATTACTCTGCTGGCTAGAAACAAACTTTAGGAGATATAAAGGAGGGCAGGGTTTCTAATCAAGGAAACAATTAACCAACAAATTATTGCAATATTAAACATCTATTCACAAAATTCTTGCTCACTCAGTTTCATAAAAAGCATACCACTGGACTTGAAGACACAGGTTAACTCTGCCTTGGTAATAGCAGGTGATTTCACCATAAGGTTTTTTTTTCCAATAGACAGACCATTGAGACAAAAAAGTAGGGAAGCATCAGAATTAAATGGCATTATTCGTCAAATAGACCTAACAGATATCTACAGACTATTCTGCTTGAATGCCGAAGAACACATATTCTACTCAGCAGCTTATGGAAGCTTGTCTGAAAACAACCACATAAGGGGATATAAAATAAATCTCAACAATTTTAGAAAAATAGAGATCACTCCATGTATCCTAATTGACCACAATGCAATAAAGCTTAAACTCAACAGAGCAAATATCTTGAGTAGACTGTATTTTAATGTTGCAGAGAAGTTTACCTAAGTACAGGTACGAAGAATTCAGTAGAGTATTTCAAATCTTGAGATTTTTACAGCTAAGCCATATGTGTGTGTGTGTGTGTGTGTGTGTGTGTACATACATATATATACGCACATATTTGGCTTAATTGTATGTATATGTTTAATTAATGTATGTAATTAAATATACATACATATGTTAGTTTAACTTTGAGTTATGGATTGGATAGATTATGTTCAACATGGATATTTAATTTTCCCAGTAGTCTTTGTAGAAAAGAATGCACTTTTTTATTTTGCTTTGTGTTTACAGTTTTATGGAAAAATAAGTATAATGTAGACATGTGAGAGATTTTGCCTTCTTGTGTTCCATGGGCTTATCTTGCCCCTAACATCACTGTGTCATTATGATCTTTACATATCTTTAAAAATATTTGAATTATTTCACTAGGTCTCACAATATCTATCTTTAACTATACAGAATATATTTCAAAAATATGACACTGTTTTACAGGCTGTGTTAAGACCTTGCAACCTTATTCTCTTAATTTCTGCCTCTCATATTTTGTATTTGTTGTCATATTTTTTGATAGCCAATGTTTGATATTTAATTAAACATTTTGGGTTGAAATCCATAATTAAACACTTCCTTCCTTTAAATATTCTACAAACATTACTAGTACCTTTGCTTAAGATCAGGAATTGGCAAAGTATGATCTCTTTCCTCTTTTTATACAGCATAGCTGTTTCTTTAAGAGACAATAAACTAAAAGTTCTTTTTCATTTTTTTTAAATGTTCAGGAAAAAATACAAAGGATAATATTGTGCGGAATAGAAAAAAATAGGGGACTTTCAAGTTTCTGTGTCTATAAACAAGATTGTATTACAATACAAATAGATTCATTTATTTGTATTTTTTATGGCTATTGCCAGTGAAAAGCTAACTAGATGTAACAGAGGTCATACAGGCCAAAGAGCTTAGGACATACATATGACTGGAAAGCCAATCTCTGGCTCTTACAATCTTACAGCCCCTCTTCCACAGTGTTCCCTGAGCCTAGGGTGCAAGAGTTCTATTGCAGATGTATCCCTTATGACTAGGATCCACAACTCTGCACTTTGAATGATTGTGATTTTTCTATAATGGAGTTTTCTTGTGTGCTTGCTCTGTGACCTCAGCTCTCTGGGAAGGGATCTAGAAAAGTAATCTAACATTACTTTTTATGATAAGGACAGTTTATCCCAGGAAAGAGCATACTAATTAATTATCCTATAGCAAATGTCAGCCCTGAAAATATACATACAAGTAACATTAAAGAGATTGAGCATGTTGTATTTATGTATGTATGTAGATACACATATATGCTAGTAACAACAATTAATAAAAAAAAGAGACCATGTGTTTGAAAGAAAGTAAGGAATCATATATGGGAGAGTTTGGAGGAAAGAAAGGGAAGAGGGAAGTAATATCACTATATTATAATCTCAAAAAATAGGGTAAGTAATAAAAAATATAGAACACCCACAAACTTTTCATCACTTTCTAAATCTGAAATCTTGAGTAAAATCATATATATTTATTAATAAAAATAAATAATTGCGTGTTATTATTGAATAACCTTTCCTTTTTAAACACATAATTTTTATGCACCATGGAAAAAGGTGGAAGTGGGAACACAACAGTACTGAGGGACAGCCCTCTCTGAGGAGCCTGCCCAGCCACCTGAGCGCATGGCGATTGCCAGGCCTGGATCCACGGTCCTACTTCAGCCAGGATCTGTGCTGAAGTCTGAGGCCTGTGTGACCATGTGGATGAAGACTGAAGAAGACATGCAGAATTTCACATCATGCACCCCAATCTCGCTCATTTCTTGGTTTTTCCATGTCTGCCCTCCACTCTTGTCACCTCTTCCCCAAAAGGAAATTAAACAAAATAATGGTAATAATAATAATAATAAAAGTTCTCACCAATTTGCTCCTCCATCAGTCACAGCCTTCTCTCATACCAGTCAGCTGTTGCACTCCGGTTCCACTGTCCTTGCACAGCTCTGCTTCCCTGTCTTTCCCACCCCTCCGTCGCACAGTCTTTCATTGTAGTGGCATTGGGAGCTGCTGCGTGCCACACAGCATACCCTTTGCCCGTACAGCTTTACTTGCAAATGTTTATTGCCATGAGTCATGGGTTGGGTTCAAGGCCTCTGGCTTCTGCCACACCATCAACACTGGACCCTCACCAAGACTCCTCTCAGTTATCCCCTGCTGTTGCCCACAGCCATGGAGATCCTGTGGCTATGGCTCCACAGGACCATCACCTCCACACACTCCAGCAGCTCATAGATGGGAGAGATGTTGGGGTGGACCAAGTCAAGGCCCTGGATCTGGGTTTCAGTGGTAGCTGAGTTGGGTGGTAGCTTGGGAGTAGCCTGGGTCTCCTCTGGACCCCCTCTCACTTCCCCACTCTCTTACACCCCAGACCCCCACCCTCCTACACCTCATCTTTCTATCCCCCACATCCCCATGTCCTACCTGAGGAGCGGCAGGACCAACCTAGCAAGGGGTGGGGTCAGCTTAGCATGGCCCTTGGACACAGCCCAGACCAAGGACATCCAACAGGGTAACACAGACCTTGGGTAGCAGTACAGATCCTGGCTGAGGTAAGACAATAGACCTAGAAATGCCCTCCCACCCCCCTGCAGCCCAAGCCTGGCACAATCACCATAGCCTCAGGTGGTGACTATGCAGGTTCCTCACATAGGCCTGTTCCTCACCACTGCTGTGTCTCCAGTCCTACCTCTCTCCAGAGAGCATGAACCACTCTGCTTCTCTTTGTCTCCCATCTCTTCATCAACTACTCATCTTTCCCATCTCTCCGTCATATACTCCTCTTTCTCACCTCTCCATCACATATTTGTTCATTGTAGTGGTGCCCACCCCAGCCCCAGGAAGGGATGGACTCTTGGGTGTCTTTCCTTAATAATCTTTCTTAAAAGATGAAAATCCTTTCAGGTTTACAGGCTTTTCTTATTTGTTCTCCTCTGAAATTGGTTATTTATCTATTTGGCTCATAATGGCTTATACAACTACATATGGAGAGCATTTTCCACTCACAGTTTATTAATTCAACACCTATTTATATAATTATAACATCCTTGAATATCTATGTAGTGAAGAACAATAACCCAAACCTTAGACAAAGCAATAATTTAATTAATGACAATTTTACATATATTTTAGAGTTGTTTTGTCGAGTATTTGTGCTATTTTAATTAGTATAACGGTATGATGAGTCTGTAAACTGCTATCTTCAGGTAGCCCAGTCTGGTTTAAGAAGCAGCATTAGAATTCTTCTACAGATTGCTGCTTAGGTGAGTTGATTT